GTGTGTGTGTGTGTGTGTGTGAGTGTGTGTATAGTTACACACACACATATATATATATATATATATCTATATCTATATTTATATTTATATAAGTATATATAGTGTTGTTTTTGGTGTTTTAGGGTTTTATTAGAATAGATACTCTCAAAGTCACATGCTTATAATTATAAACTTGCACCTATGGGAGCTTCGATTTATACTTTTGGACCTGGCTATACACTGAAATGAGCGGATTTGTCTCTACTTACTTCTCATGCACGTTAGATATAGAGGTGTGTGTCAGCTGGTCTCTTAAAGTTTGCGCGAAGTGATATACGTAATGTGTACACTCCACATACTTGGTTGAATCCCGCTAAAGGGTGCGTCAATAGTATCGTACAGCAATAAACTGAGAATTGAACTGTTGGGTCGGAATCGATGAAGTCATATGTATCGTAAAAGTGGGAGTTAAGGTCGTGAGGCCGAAGTGCAGATGCACATGCTAATGAAAGGCGTCAGATTGTGTCTTTTTGTATAGAATCAATCCATTGCCCTATTCATTTATTTGCAGAGTGATTTTTGGACATATTCACGTCCGTGTACAATCCAGCGGCTCTTGCTCTGAGACTCGGAGGTGCATCGTTGCACCCCGATGCACCCTTTAATTTGGTTGTCCAGTTTTTATGTTTCAATTTGTCGGACACATTTGTCCAATCTCTTCAGAATTAACCCGTCGATATAACGCTTGCGCTGGTACAGTCCCTTCCAACCGCTATGGGTATTCATAGTAGACACCTGCACCGAGACGTATATATGGTTCTCAGCACCAGCATCTGATTCATAGTATGAATGCTTTATTTCTATCTATGTACAGACGAGCGTTTGGAGATGTGGTGGTTGACCACTACAGCCACTTCTACCGCAATGAATGCGAGGCCTTCCAGGCGGCCGTTACCGACTGGGAGAAGAAACGCTACTTCGAACGAATTTGATTTATATATACATCCATATATCATATATATATATATATATATATATATATATATACTATTAGAGTTTATGCACTAACTAGAGAATGAGCATGCTAAAAAAAACCGAAAGCCCATATGCACCTAAAAAATAGTTGACTTGGCCATACAGAGTAAAATTAAATGAACATTTAACTAACTTCAAAGCTTTGAGTACGCACCTAGAAAAACTGTCCTAAATATAAATCATACAGCAGATACTGATACACATATACACGCTAGACTATATCCCCTTTGGGCCGAATCAGGGAGAAATATTTGATCAATTTTGTATGTTCGGACTATGATAGTTGTTTTGTGTCATATTAGACTCAATGCAGAGTTTACAGAAGATTTGTATGGCAACACACGTTACGTTGATAACAAACTAAAAAATCTCGTTCAGGGTAGGCATTCGAAAGTAAAAAGTACATAGCTGTGTATATTGATTTCAAAGGCCGGTTTGTACATATAGCCTGATAGCCCCATGTCCAAATCAAAAGCTGATGGTATAGATATACACTGTTATATAGGTATTCATACATTGACATGACCATCAAACAAACTATCTTTGTTCTTACAGTGCTATTAAGTATATCATTTTTACATTGCCAGCCATGAGTGTCGGTTCAATGATGAACTGTTTGTGAAGTCAACTTTTAAATATGAGATTACCGAACGCTGCAAAGGCCTAACTATGATCCCAGTAAGCGTGCCCAATTACATGAACTAATTTATATATATAAATGCGCCTAATTTCCCCTTTGAACCTTTTCCTTTTTCTCTTGCTTTAAAAATGCCCCTTTTGAACAAAACACCTCAAAACTGCCCTTTGTCAATAATTGTTATAGTGTGCCTTTTTGGGTTGAATCGTTATTGGGGCCTTGGTGTTGGTGGTTGGGGCTTGGGCTCTTGGCACCTCTGGGAGTCTGGACGTACTGGACAACCACGTGCCGGCTTTTATAGTGGTTAATCCTCGGTCCTCGGGGCCCCTCATCACGGTAATCTATTGGCTGTCTAACATTTTTTTCTCTCCTCTGATAATACCGGATTTAAATATAGAAGTTTTAACTTCCACTTATTTTTTAGCATACAAGTATAACTGCTGCCGTGCTGTAGCTAGCAGAAAGCAGAGTGACTGAGTCTGGCAGTCTGCAGTCTGCATAGTGACGTTGTGAAAAGACTTTTTTTTATTAAATAAAAGAGGACTCCAGGTCCAGGACTAACCTCAAACCGTTTTCCGATACAACTTTAAAAAATCGAATAAAATTACGTTCGCGTTTAACCTTTATTCTATCTGCGGTCCTCTGTCTGCTTATAGATGCATATTTAGGGTCTTATAATTGAAGTGTGTACCTATTTCACCATACAAACCAGTCTTATAAAACATCTTAGGTAGGCCTTTCAGTTAAAGCGTTTTAAAATTGAATAAATATGCGTTTACGTTCAACTTTTATTCCGTACATATCTCCATAACGTAATGAAATTAGCTCCAGCCCCCAGAGCTAAGCTCAATAAGTTATAGGGGTACGATAAGTTACAACTTTAATGTTAAGTTTTTGATTTTTAAAAGTAATAACTTTTATTTCGGACAAATCAACTAAAGTTTTTTTTGAAACTGCACTCAATAAGCTGTCCTATCGTTGAAAATTTTAGGCTACGAAATTGATAATAGGCAATCAAAGGAGATTGAGCGTTTCAGTTGTGACGACTATCACCTGAGTGGCCTGTAAAATGCACCTATCATATATGAAAATGTACTATCGCGATATAAAAGTTGCAACTTTAATGTTTATTCGAGGCACAATAAAAGTTGCAACTTTTAACGCATTGAGCTTAGCTCCAGAGTCCAGATCCCAGGACCAAGGAGGCAGGAGGCTAGGAGCCCGGAGCCCCAGAAACCCAACCTGTCTCCCCAGCCAGAGTCCCAGAATCCCAGACTCCACCGCGAGAGACACGATTAACACGACACTACGTAACTACAAGTACGACGGTTCACAGTAGAGACTAGAGAGACTTCAAAGTGGATGTAAACCCGAAACTCAAAACTCAAAACTGGAACTCTGGACTCTGATTTTAGGAACCAGCATTCACCAGCCGCCCTCAACCACTCAAGCCCCAACAGTCCAGATCCGGAGATCCCACGAGTCCAGGACTCAGGACTCCAGGGGCTCTCTCTAACAAGAGTAGAGCAGAAGTCATCGCTCATTCTCTCTCGACGTGTGTTGTTTGAACTTGTTATTGTTTTGAAGCAGGAGTGACAGGCTGACAGCCTGACAGCCTGACAGGCGACAGCAGTGCAGCCTGCGCCCTGCAACCTGCAGCAGGCCTGGAGGCTGCTGGAGATTGAAGGAGGCGACAGAAGTATTTGTGAGTAAAATAGTTATTTTTAGATATTTTTAGCTCCATAGTGACTCTTGTTTCTATTGGTAGAGGCTAAAAAATAGTTGTTTGTATTATCTGGGTTTCACCGTTTCATTGCCTAAAATGGATTTTTTTTTATAAACAAAAAAACCTCCCCTTTGTCTTGACTCTTGACTTACAAAAAAATGTATTTATCCACTCACCCATATCGCCACGGTGCCACTCTCGCTCTACTTTTGTTTAGTATTTAGTTACACCCGCTATTTATTAGTAAATATTTACTCACTTTCCACATATCTCCACTATCTCCACTCTCCACCGTTCCACAAATACAGTATCTAAATTTTTATTTATACAGTAGACTAAGTTAGATATATTGATTTTAGTCTGCCTTTTGTCTTCGTTCTTCCCAAGTCGAAGACTTCGAAACTCAAAACAGTCACAAGGCCACCGACTCACCGAGCCTGTGCCAGGGAAAATCTGTATTTGCCCCGAATTGCCTTTCAACACTATCCAGATGGTCGTGACTATCTACGATATTTACCGGATACTAATTTAACGATCAGTCCAGTCTCGAAATACCGGATATATATTCTAACCTCTGTCCCCAGCCAGCGACCTGATCACCTGAAGGCTGAGTCAGGCAAGGGCCTTATTAATTGTTGACCTCTTGATAGTTGACACATTGTTTACCTTTTTTTTAAATTTGGTATATTGGCCTGGCCAGCTCATTTGTCGACGGGGTTTTTTAACCTCTGTAGTATAGTCCACTCTCTTGTTCAAACTTTTCGACACAAATAATTTTCCAGATGTCCACATTCAAGACTTCAGGCCCCCAGGGTCCAGAGTCCAGACTGCGGTGAATCCAAGCTCGAAATATCAAAAAAAAAAAAATTTACATAATACTACAAGTATACATATTTATGTACACGCCACAAACATCTACAAACGGGTACCCACGGTCACCAGTCAGTACCGGTTGGCCTCTTAACGCCTTGACACATTGCATCCAATAGAAGAATTTGGCCCGGTACACAATATCCAGCCCATTTGTCGACGGGTCTTTTGTCAATCTGTTAGTGTTTGGGTGACAGTGTCAAATATTATCGTTGTGGCTATTCAGTTGTCTGCGGATACTGGCGATTATCCGTCCGCCCGGATACAAGCCCACATTTGATTTCAACAACCAAAGAGCCCGCCGCCCCTGTGTCGATGACGGTTAGACAGTAAATAAATAAATAAATAGATGCTTTCAATAACATAGACAGTATTTGCCGGTCGCAAGTCGCAAGTCTCGCAAGTCTCGCAACTCGCACGGTGAACACTGAACAGTGCCATTGTAGGAGTGCTGGTTAGAGATATTGTGAGAGTGTGTGAGAGACACAAATGAGATGAGGAGTGAGTCTGTGAGTCTGTGTGCCCGGCTCCTCACCCTGCGGCCTGCGCGGCTGCACCTAAGGCTGCACAAGTGCACAGTCTTTTTTCTCTCTCTCTAGTACAGAGAGTAGAGTAGAGATGAAATGATCCATAGAGAGTTCGATTTATTTTTTTGGGTTTTAAAATTTAGAATGGGACATAGGCACATATGATAAATATAGCGCTTATAGTAGTCCTCTACTCTACTAGCTAGAGAGAGTCCATGTTTGTAGACTCTCTCTGGAGTAGAGCGGTGGGCGAAAAGACATAAACATATGTACTGTGATCTGTGTACACTGTACAGTGTATACTGTACATAGTACATATAATATTATATAAACATACCATAGAGGAATAAAATAAATGATCTTTTGTGAACAGCGGTTTAAAAAAATTGTTAACAGTTGTTGTGCATTTTAATCGGGAAAATAATCAAAAGATGGTTTTTTTTTGGTTTTTTTTGTATATAATACAAATATATTTATACAAAATTATTCACAATTTCACATGGGCCATGTGCCCGCGGGCGTCATACTGTCTGGCGGGGAAAGGCACTACTCCACCCTTTTTTTTTTTGAAACAAATAACTTGTCTGCTTATTTAGGCAGGGCTTTTCCACAAGCATAAAATTCCAAAAACAAGGCTTCAAATAAATAAAATATACTGTCCAGATTTAGCAGATATCTGGTGTAAGAGCATAGCAGTAATATTTGCATATATATGCCGGTTGACACATCGCACAAACATGCACAAATGATTGTATTTCAAGCTTTTGAATAGCCTTGAAAGGCCTTAAAAAGTAATGAGCACATCAGTCAGTCCATGTGTACCAGAACTCAAGCGAGATGGAATTCTCGTCGATGTGCTACTTAAAGGCGAGACGGTAGTTCGAACGTCTCTAAACAATAAGAACGGAGTGGAAGGTTCGGTTCGTCTTCTGTCTTGTGATTCAAATAAACAAAGAAAAAGGGTAACCAGAGACGTGGTGAGAAAAGTGATTCCCGAGACTGCATCTATACACACACTCTGCATAACCACGGATTTCGAGATTGCTCTATACCAAAACAAGCGGAAAAAGAAAGCCGTTTTGGTGAAACAACTCACCACTGCAAATGGTGGACTATACCAGACGGGTGCACTCGCATGGACCAGACACGAAGAAACCTCTTTGACCTCAACATACAAGGTTACAATTAATAACGAAATGTCAGTCGGTACAAAGTGCACCAGCAGAATCAACTTTTACTTTACACTGGCCAAGATAGACACCAATTATTCTTTACTGCAATGGCTAGAGCTGAATGCGGAGATGTCCATCAGCTGCTTAGAGATCTCGCTCATAGAGTGTCGTCAAAGGTGCATCAAACCAGTGTCTAGAACCGACTCAGAAGAACCAATGGTATCTATGACATCCGCCAAATCCTACTGGCGACGACCCAGCAAACCGAACACACGTCGTGCACTTGCGGTGCGAGTGCCTGGCTGGAGCTAATAAACAGTACTAGGTGCTGTAGTCGGTTCATTTCAAATTTAGAATCGAGTAGTGCATATAAAATACTATACGATGTATCAATCAAATTCCATTATCTTTTAATATTTATAAAGCGAAAAATACCTGTGTCTTCAACTCTCCCTTGTTCAATTTTCAGGAGGCTATATGGTGCTTCTAAGCCTCGTTTAGAAGTTGAAAATATTGAAATAGTGCTCATGCAATATCAGCCATAACCCAAAGCCTTCTAAATTGAAACAAAGGTGATGACTGTTGAATGACGCTATGCATATATCATAAACCTCCAAAGAAAAAAGAAAAAAAAGAAAAAAACAAACAAAATTTCTGATTGTTATCGGGCACGCACATATGTAAATATACTCTCGTATTGTGCTTATGATGTGCTATTAAACGAGCCAACACTGCTGCATTGGGGTTGTATCAAGCAGAAGAATAGGATGTCGCACCCACAGTATATCAAAGCGGCAGGAGAGATTATAGGTGGGTTATCTTGTGGTTTTACGGGGAGTAAATGCTCAGAAGTACACATACATAGGCTCACTTGTTGTCACGACCACATCTTCACTTGTCATGAACTACCTAAGTTATCTATACAAGTGTCACAGTAGTTTTTTTTTGCAGGTTGTGGATATGTTGGATAGGAATTGTTCCTGGACACAACAAGTATAAAGCAATAAAGCAACCTTTTTCGACTCTCCTTTTTTTACCTCTTCAACGCGGTACACAACGCGCTCGACGCCGAATTTCGACGGCGAAGACAAATACAAATGCTGGGTCCTCGATCAGGTGTGTTGTCACCTCACGTTGGACAAAAAAAAATGCATTCATGAATACATACTTGACCTGATATGTGCATACACACACACAAACAAGGACACACACTCATATATATATATATATATATATATATTTTAATATATATATACATATATATATA